ATAATAATATATAACTGCACTTTAAGCACGTCCACCAAAGTATGTCTAGACCAAGATAGCCGACTAAAGAGCAAAAACTAGATACCGAAATTTCGGAATCCATCGAAACTTCGTCATAATAACGCATCAAAAATTAATTCCAAATAATACCTATCAAAAATGTTGGTTTAAAGTATATTATAGTTTGAATTCGTCTTTACGAATTTTCAAGGATGCCATTTAACCATAAAAAAATCAATGTGTTTGTTTCGAAAAAGTTATCATTTATGAAATGTATATGAAACAAAATATATAAGTGCACATAAAGTATAATATTTTATTTTTCGGTTGAAATTTAAAAACCTAATAAATTACATCTTTGTTTATTTTCATATTTTAAATTAAAAATAAAAATGCTTTTGAATACATTTTTTGATAGTCTAAATGTAGAAGAAATGAATTTAGTAAAACCCAATTTTCTTCCCGCGATACTTTGTTCAAAATCGTATTTTAGATTCTGTAATTTATTTCTCAAAAAAAAAAAAAAAAAAAACAAAACAAAACTGATAACAAATGACTTTACATTGGTTTTTATTTTTGATGATTTCTGGATTACCTTATAGTGGCAAAAAGGGACTATAAAACTTGACCAATCCTATAACCTTACCTGCATTTTATCCAACTCCACTCGGAATCGTTTATCCGTGGAAATCCTCACATTCAACATAAATTAAATTTTCCGATATCCTATAATTTATAACCTTTCGATAATGGCCTACTTCTAGGTGCGAAATATATTCGGTCTTTTTTTTATGCACCAAAACGATAAACTATTGTAATACCGAACTATATAGTAATTATACGATATATTTTATAGAATTAATTATTAATTGATCATAACGTCTAAATAACTGTTTTTAATTTCTGAATCATTAAATTTTATCACATACTGAACACGAGTACATTATTTCTGGCCATGTGTAATAACTAATAACTAATATTTAACCGATACTAAATGTGTGCATCATTGTGCATTATAATACAAATGCAAACACAAATAATAAATAATTGAAATAAAATCCACTACATACCGCATCTGGTTAAATTGCGTTTTTAATTAAACTGTTAAAGACTATAATATATAATTCATATGTATACAGGTTGGTTCTTTTCATCGCAAACCAGCGATATTTTATACTGAGACCACGAATTCATTTGATTTTTGTTTTTTTTGTCCATTGTCGTTTATGTCTATTTATACATATATAGTTTTTCTTTTAGAATCGATGTGTATTGAAGAACGTATTTGTTTTAATATGATGAGTTTTTTTTGCGTGTTAACAAATGCATAATATAAACAACAAATTAGGGGTTTCTCGTAGACATTTTTTTTATATTTGGTGCATTGAAAAAGTAATTTTTTTAATTTTCCTACGGTATGATATGTATCACGGTTTTTACTATTATGTTTATTAGTGTATAGCTAAAGCTACCTTTTAAGAAAAATCAAAATTTAAAATCTTGAAGGAAAGTTAAAATTGTATTATCGCTGTAATTATTGATTTACTTAGGTATATAAAAAAATCTTAAAGAAACAAAAAGTTTATTCTGCAAATAAAAAACAATGGGCTACGGTAATTTGCATAATGAACAGAGATTTAAATTTGCAATTATCTTTATACTTGTAAAAAAAGTTTTTCGTGTACATTTCCACGTTTCTGTTAAAGACACGATCAATTATTTGAATCACGTATTTTTATTTCGCAATTTAATTGCCACAACAATATTATATTTAAGTATAAAATCATTTATCAAATAAAAAACCTATAAACCAAAATAAAACATTATATTAATAAAAATGAAAAAAACATAGCAGTATGTCAATTATTATTTTATCGTTATCACTATAAAAAATTATAAAACATAGACAGACTAGTATAAATAGCAGATTTTCAAAAGAAAAACATTATTATGGAGTATTTTTTTTTCTATACATAAATGTGAACACATAAGAGTGGAGAATCGGGAAAAATAAAAAACTAGAACAACTGTATCAGGGTGTCTGGTATAATACACGAAGTTATGGAAAATCAACTGAAACGGACAAGATATACCTAAAGGAAAACAAATAAATGTTATTGTCGGATCAACCAAGAGATCCTTGAGACCATTATCACGTATATAATATGTCAAGTTGGAAGGCAAGATAAGAAGTTAATCAAAATCAAAAAAAATAGCTAGGGAAGCATTGGTTTTGAAACGTGTTGGTTAACGCATGGTCTTCAAAACCACAGACAAGAAGAAAAAAAGATCACTAAAATAATTTGTTCAAAACGACCTACTTGTCTGGTAATGGTCATTACTATTTCGGAATTTACAGTACCTTACAGGAAAATGCCACACGTTGTTTTCAAAGCAATAGGTAACGCAATTTTCTATAATTAAACTTAATATTAGTATGTTGATACATTTTTATCCTGTGAAGGCGTTTTCAACGAAATTCTACTCTCAATCATGTTCTTTTATGTCTTGGTATTCTACGTTAACATCAGTATTTTATTTACATATTGTAAATTTATATTTTACAAAAAAATTTTTTTATTAAATTAAATAACAGGAATTCGATGCATTTAACATTCCTTTTTTTTTTTTTTTGTCGAAGCATTCGAAATAAATGATTCACAATAATAATTAACGTCCCGTTAACGTACGCATTTATTTATCACGTAACAATTTTTTATTATATTCACTATATGTACATAAATTTATGTCCATACAAAATGCAAATATATTTTTCTATATAGGTATATAAATGGTACAGCAAAAAATGTGACGTGCAAAATATGAGCAAGGTGTACCCATAATATACGCGTATTTGAACGATACCCATCGGACCGAATACTAAATAGGCGACACAATATAAAAATAAAGTACCTCAAATAGTTCGAGTATAAAAAAATGAATATTTATTCTAATACGTCTAAAACTATAATTTATACAAAATTTAAAAAAAAAAATCAAGTATACAGAACTGTATGAGAACTTTTTATTTTCGTCATCAATGGTGATTTCTGCTGTTGTAAAATTAGACAAAAACTCAAAATATATGGTTTTCTTATTTATGGTTTCTATAAATTCGTAATTTGTGTTTTTTTTAGATTCTGATTTTTACAAAAATGTTTATTTATTTTTTTTATTTTTTTTTATCTGTGCACGACTTTTCTACAGGCAATTTTACTTCAATTTAAAAAGATGGCAATGTTTCTAAAATTAAATTTGACTGGGAAGGTATTTTAAAGATGACATTTTTTGATTTTCTCAGGAGTTTCCTCATCAAATTTGAAAAACCAGAAAAAAAAACAGGGAGAAAACGTAGGAATATCGTTATAACATTTATTGAAATTTATTAAGTCTATTTAATTATTTTACTATAGTATAACATATATACTGTTCGCAAAGCAGCACTTTTATCTTAATTCCGCTCAGAATATTATTTTCGTTAGCAATGATTTATCGTTATTTACAAGTATACATTTTTTTTGGATCAGTGGCAATTTCATTGTTCCACTTTGAGCACTCTCAAATATAATAATTTTGTAGCCAAAATTATAAATACTAAACAAACAAAATCACCCAATAATATTTTTTGAGCGGTAAATAAATTATAATTTTATTATTAACTTTCAGATTGATTTTCTCAATAATTATTTTAGTGATTTTTTTTTTAATTGCGGCGTTATTTATTGGTTTGGTATGATCGATGAACGATTAATTTACTTTTTTGTGACTATTAAATTTTTTAACGAAACAAATTAAATTCGAATTAAATTAAATTAAATTAAAAATTTGTTTAGAGACATCGTACAAATTTCCCATACGAGTGACCCCTTAAATGTTAGACGTCCTCTTAATTTTGAAATTCTTCCGCATTATCTATAACACAATAATTTTTAGTATTATATGAGCGATTCGAATTCGAATTCTTCGATAACACTGCGGTCAAATAATGTGATATAGAGAAACTCACACGCTTCCAAATAGAAGAAGATTGGATCGTTTGAGTATATTATAACATAATATAATAACATACTATCTGAAATCGTTTTTTTTTCAGTAAAAAATAAAAAATAATAATAATAATAATGATAAACAAACATATATGTATAAATATGTATATAGTATAGTATTCAGACCTCTAACTACGTGTACGTGTTACGAGTCCAAATAGATACTCGGATACTCGGTTTGAATATTTAATGTTATCGAGTTTAAAATGACATGATCGGTATTTTTGTATTTTTTTTTTTTTTTAGTTATTCTCTTTTTGTAAATTAAATCAAATATATTAGCATATTCGTATACACGAATCAAAATACGTATCCATATACATTTTCTTTTTCCCTACTCCACATGGAGCTCTATACCGCCACAAAAGTACGTAACTATAATAATATTAAGTTTAGTTTTCGATATTTGTCGTGATAAAAAAAAAATATATATATAAGTATCACTGTTGTTTGGTGTGTTATTTTTGTGGCTAGACAGTTTGGAATAAGGAGTATAAGGAAGTATAATAAAGATCAATTGAATTCATATCAGAACGCATTCACGCATCAATGAAAAACGATTCTGAACGAAATATAGTTCCAAATCAAATTGACTCAAAATCATCGTATGAGTAATCGGTGGTTCACGATGAAAAGAATCGCCCTGTATAAAATAATATAAGTAAACATCGACCAACTAGGCGGAAAAACAAAAACGGTGTACCTGTACGTCGACGTGCGGATAACACTCTATATTGATGTAATCCGATAACACGTGAAACTCGCACATTTTCCACGAAATATCTCATCTCTGTCGAAAGCGAGTAGGTATATTTTTTATACCCAACATAAATCTGTTGATCCGTTGGCCGGTGACAACATTCGAAAATACATTTTATAAAAAAACCGAACGCATTTCATCGTTTTGGAGAGTTGTTATCATTATTATTTTATTAAATGTTTAAAAACTTATGAATGCATACGATTTAAAAATGTATTAAATATACGCCCGTGTTTTTAGTCATTATTTTCATGTTGAAACTTGAAGTCACAATATGGTAGCCAATTGTTTTCCTCAGACATATCATTATATTATAGGCTATGTGTTTATAGAGAAACAACCGTAAAAAACTAGAAATATGGAGCAAAAACGAGCAAATCAAATCAAATTCTCCAATGTCTAAACAAATATAAAAAATAACGTACTTATTGGTTAAAATTGTGGGTAACGCATCCATGAAAAATGTATGATTTTTAATTACATAGTCAACAAAACGATATTTATTACAAGTACTAAGCCGACAACAGACTACGAGACTATTAATGTATATATTTTACATTTTATTGAATCGGACAACTCGAATCACAAATTCAAATATATAACTAACGGTATACGATAAGCAAACGGAAATTTTAACAATAATTGTATTTCTCGAAGTTCAAAACGTCCAAGAATAATATTAATAATCCTGCACTACCAATAATTTTGATAAGAAAATATAAATTTTTAAAGCAATTAATGTCTTCAGCGTATAACATTATATTAGTTTTATTTCTGTGAGAAAAAACATGTAATCAAAAATACGAATTGTATTGTTCTAACCATTTGATACGTATTGTTTTGAGTATAATATATTTGTTAAAAAACTCAATGTGACCTACCTACATATTCAAAATATAAAAATAAAAATAGCTCTCCATCAGACTATGCAATTCTTTCTAAATAATATATTACTTTTTTTTTTAGCATCATTTTAGTTTTTTTTTTTCTTACAAAAGTTTTGACTCTTGAGGGCGTAAACCTAACGTATTCTATATTTTTAGTAACCGTGGTAACTATATGTATACATTTTGACCTAATTGTCAGTAATAGTCATTTAACGTTCACTCCAAGGTATTTATAGTTGATTGATTTTTCAAACACAAAATTATCAATCACCATCGGTGTTGTCTACTAATTTTAGATTCTAAAAGAAGCGAGGAACGTATATTGGTTTTACTATCATGTGCATTTCTTTTTGTCTGTTAACAATGAAAATCATTTTTCCATAGGAAATGTTTCTTCGTTTTTCAAATGTACAATCTTTTCTTGAATCTAATTGGTATTACACTAAGGAAGTAATTGTTTGATTTTATTTTTTTTTTTTTGCAGTTCTTTTAATAACTGTGATAATTAGAAAAAAAACATAGGAGAAACGGAAAATGTACGACTATGTCGTTGTCATAGTTTTCATTTTATTCTCATTTTTTTTTTTTTTTTTTTTTTTTTTTTTTTTTTCGTAAATGTTAAAAAAAAAGAGATCCGAATTCTTGAGATCATTATATACACTATAATTATCCGAAATTCGTTCGGAATCGTATTTCGTTGGCAATGTCACCTCGTTGCTAACTTCCTATTTTTTCATAAAGCAATATCATACCCATCAATATGATACTATCAGCTATTTTTTATTTTCTGGAAACTGGTTTATGATTAGAATTTCTCTATATAAACATATAAATTATTAATCTGTTCGAGTTATAAGTTTTACTTTGTTTCCATTAATCAACTTTCCGAACATTTTTTTTGACTTTGTGCGGTTTATTATTATTATGATTGAAAACCTGTCAGTAAACAAAATTATTTTATTTGTCATTTACATGTATAACGTAAAATATTATAAATTAAATTATATTAGTTCATATTTTTTCATAGTACAATTGATGGTCATCGATTTTAATTTTAAAAAATTCCAATGCATTATAATTCACGAGTAAACGTTTTTGTCGTAATACGTTTGACATAACTTGTCCAAATTTACACCATTTTAGGAACATTATTGAAACTAATTCAGAATTGGAAATAAGAAATTAAATTAAAATATAAATTGTTATTTATGAGTTTTTTTTGCATTTTTGCAAAAAAAAAAAAAAAAAAAAAACCTTGAATAAATACTGTGATATTTCAGTGGTATACAAAGCCAAATTATTTTTGTTAAACATAATTTAATTTTAACTGCCTAGTTGCGCCTAGTCGGATTGCATAAGTAATTGTGTTTCCCCTCGGGACAATGTCAACCGCGGTTATCAGAGCATGTCATCAACCTGGCACAGTAACCCATCCGTTACGATTTTAGTATTTCGATATCACAATTTTCCATTTGGTTTTGCTTTTTTATTATTTGTTTAAATCCATTTCAAGTCATTCGCAAAGTAAAAAATTCTAGATGTCAACAGTCGCAAGACTTACGCATTAAATGTATACAGTTAACAGTATAATATGTTTACGGTCGATCATTCGAATAACTGCGCTTTTGATCTTGTTCCGAATAAAAACTCCCCCCACCCCGAAAAAAAAAATAAAAAATAAAAATGTCAAGCAAATATTTTACAGTAAGTACTTTGCATACATAATATTATTACGAGATAAAACTATACGCGTGGTTTTGTATTCAGTATTCTCTACACTCCTATATGTATTGCTACGGTTATTATTCCAATGTTATACGATATCCAAGAAATAAAATTGTCAAAATCATATTTTTTGCATTTTAATAATATTTTGTATAATCATACGGAAAAAATGTTTTTTTTTCTTTTTATGTCTTACATACTAAACAAATAATGTTTAAGCGTTCGGAATATACGTGAATAATTTTTCCATAAACACAAAATTAAAAAGAAAAAAAAAATTTAATATTATATTATGAACCCTCATTTTCATAATATCAATATGCATTACATAAAAAAAAATAAAAAAAATATGGTCAAACAAAGTGACTTTGTAAAAAACACAATTTGTCGTGTATCATACATTACACATATATATCATGCAATATATGTAAGCTTTTACAAAAATATATTTATTTTTTATATCATAAATGGTTTTTTTTCTATTTATTCCAAATAAATATTCAGATTTAATTTCGACAAATCCGCGATAAAAATATCTGTTACCTCTGATGGTGATCCGCTTGTGAGGTAGGAAGGGATCATATTATATAGAGTAATTTAATTCATAGCTATATAAAACGATAAACCATTGTGAAAAAAAAAAAAACGATAATGAGCAGAAAATTATTGGTCCCATTTTTTCCAAACATCAACGAACAGTTTACAGAAATCTGCCAGTCTCTCTTATTTAAGAAGAAAACTGAATGGAAAAACAAAAAAATGTAAACTTTTTTTTTATAATTTATTAAATTATCAACATAAGTTATGACGTCATCTCAGAAATTAGATAGACTTACAACTATTAGGTTCGCTTATAATAACCATAGTTCTTTAAATTTTCAAACCAGTTTGAAGAAATGAACCACTTTAACTTGATACAATTTCCATTCAAAAAACATGTTACACATGAACTGGGATTTTGGGACGGTAAATAATATTGAGTTATTGAATTTATATACGTACTTATACGTAATGATAAATCGAAATACGATTCTAAGTAAAGTTTATATGTAAGTATTTTTTTTTTTTTTTTTATGAAATACCTACCGTAATTTTAAGGATTTTCTTTTTTCTTCCAAATGTTAACTTTAAAAGCGTATACTATTTTTATTTTTATACCTAATAAACCTCATGTAAAATTTTGAAACATTTCTACTCCGTCATAATAATTGTTATCCACATAGTACCAAATAAAAACTAAAAATACTTAATTATATCAAAGGATAATTATCCTATAATAAATATTTATTTAAAAGGTAAGTACGATTATGTTTAATTGAAATACAACAATTAAAGAAAAAACAATCAAAAATTATGAAATTTGCTTAAACTTTTACATTTTTGCCTAGTTATTAAGAATGCTACAAAGGAAATCAAAAAAAAATGTTTTTAATATACTAACTAAATCCAAAATGATACAAAAAAGCTCTCTTATCATTTTGGAAGCAAGATTGTTGTTAACGGACAATAAAACACACACGCACACATCATATCAAAACTAATAAATTCTTCGTTCTATATATAATCTAATATTTATACTAATATGACATGAAAACTGAACGTGACAAAATATAACATCCAAATTCTCGATCACGAAACAAAATAATTAAAATAATCAATTATTACGATACATCCGAATACGAATGAAGTATTCTAATATATGCGTTTTTTTTCTATCGTACACAAATAACAATAAATAATAATAATTACACTAAGCATAAATCATTTTTTTTTATTTGGTGAGACAAGTATTTAAAATAAAATATATCAATTTTCGAAATCCACATTTATATACGTTCGATCCGAGACGTTAAAACTGCCAGTCATTTTATATAGGTACTTAGATATGACGTACAAATATATTTTATCACGTTTTTACAGCCTTCATAATTTTTATTTAGCTCTTGTGTTTTTTAAATTTTATTTCACATACTCGCTGACTCATCACATCACGAATGAATTTTATTTATTTTTCATAAATAAATAATTAAAATGTTTAATGCTAGGTGCATAATGTTAAGGACCTGCCCAAATCATTAGTACATGCTCGATGTCATATTGTATTAGTTTTCCTAAATCGATGCTAAATAAACTAGAAGCCGAGCACAGTTCACACTAAGAATTGACAAATCTTGTGGGTGGAGAAATTAAGAATGTATATAAATACTGTAAATAAGGTAATTTAGTTTATATAGTGACAAATTATATTATTATAGAAACGATCAATTATAATAAACGAAAAACGATTCTGAGCAAGACAGACATATTATGGTAAATTTAAACGGAAAATAATTGTATTAATTTGTAACTGTATAATATATATATATATATATATCGTTCACGTTTTTAACGATTCTTAACTCGTTTATATCCACGTAAAACCAAAATAAAAATTAAACATAGCCGTAACACATCTATAAAATGTTAATATAAATTGAACAATTTGTTCCACCAGAAAAATCAAAAGATGATAAAAAATAAATAAAAATGTTCAGTAATGCATGTTATAGATCGGTAGATATGCTTTCTGGTCAAAAGTTTGTTTTTAGACGCAAATTAAATAAACAAAAAAAAAAAAAAAAAAAAACAATTATAGCAAAACCAGTAAATGTTTCCTCGATACGCTTAAAAAAAATCTAAAAACAAATAACACCAACATTTATATTGATACCAATTAATGTGCAATTTATTTTTCACGGACATTATTGTCAACAAACTTTAGTGATTTTTCTTCAATATATTTAGATTGCGTGATTTAAAGAAAATTGTAGTCCACTATATAATAATATTTTAACCGTGGGCAATGAATAAATTTATAAAATTGTATAACGGATCTGTAGTAATAAATTTGTGTATTATAATATTATGATGGTATTTTAATTATGCACTTTTGAAACACTTTAAATTATATCCAGCTGACCCTGCAGCTCGCTCGCGTATTGTAAACGTGACGTTATTTTCACTTTGTCAGTATAAATGTCTGGAATTTTAGATAATTTTCTCACACAGCCAGTAGTCCGACGCTTGGTGGGTATATTACTGAGAACGGATATTCCATTAATAAAATATAGGTACAAATTCTTACGTCGTCATTTATAATATAAAAATATCTTATCGAAAATAACATTACAATTACGATCATTATCCAACCTAACCTAATCTATCCTGCCTTCCACTTGTAATTTGTCTATGTTTTACTTTCAACAGCTATTCCGAGGAGAAAAGAAATAACAATTAGTTCACACGTTTTACACGTAGATAGAAATATGTATACACTACTAAATATTACCTAAACTCGTACGAAATCGTTTATATATTTGGATATATTTCATAATAATTTATGAAACATTAAAATCAACCCGATTTTTGACGAAAAGACTGCAGAAATTGATGGAAACGTGATATAAATTTACCACATTACTTTAGGTTTTTGTCAGAAAACACTTACACATAAAAGAAATCAAAATTATTTTGGAAAACCGAAAAATTGAATAATTGAGTAGGTTGAATTAAACATTTCGAATGTTATGTTATGTCTCAATTACTTTTGTGGAGAAAAAAGCATTATTGTAAAA